CTGGACTGTGTGGTGAGTGCAACTTATACTGACATAAGTAGTATATAACGCGAGTCAGGAATCTAATGTCTGGCAGCAGAAGATTGGGAAGACCTAGAAAGGAAGAACGGTAATAGAAAGCAATTAGTATAGAAATACAAGAAGAATGAAGTCCGAGACAATTATTGAACATTTTTTCAAATTATGTATTATAGTATGGTTTTTCTATTTTACCAAGTAACTGTAATTTTGTGCCAATCGTAATTTGGTTGTCCTCATCTGTGTTCTCCTTCTCTACAGACTATATCATTATAAATACATGTCAACATAAATCAGGTTTGAATAAACTAGTAATTAATTGATCCATTTGTATGTGTTGCTTAGATCATCTCATTGGTGTTTATGATTGCAATGGAAGAGTCTCACTTAGGATGAAACACGCATCTTAGATTCTACTATTAGTAATCATTCAGCTACAATTCTAACTTATACACACACTAATCGCCATAATAACTGAAAATTGAAATTGTTGTATTAATCTGTATATTTGCTGAATTTTCGAGACGTGGTGAAATTTCTGACATTAAAAGATGATCATTTAAATGTAATGAAATCCATTTTGTGATAGAATACTCATTTTACCCCCTTTAAAAAGACATAGTCACGTACTTACTTTTACCAATATTTTCGAATTCTTCATTTGCTCATTTTATAGATAGAAGAATATTCTTTTATATGAGACACTTACTTTTTGAGATCAGTTTATGCATAGCGAAAATGCGGGTGAATGAGGCAGATATGGAACACTTTTGATGTTTTCCCGATGCTAATCTAACAGTGAAGCGTCTAATGCTGTGTTTTGGCTCAAGTATATCTGTTTTATTATTCCTACAGAATCTGACTCCTTCGATCTTAGTACATTTAGCATTACTTTTTAGTCATCATCATCTCCTAAAATTTTGTATATATTTCGTATCAGTAGTAATAAGGAGTGTTGTTGTTTTTAAATGCATTTAGGTGAATATAATGTAGATAAGAATTTAATCAGTATTACCATTTTTACAAATTCAGTAGACTATCCTAGTAACTTCCATACTCTAGGATTGATGTGCAAAACCTAGTGAGGTAATCAGTCTATGTAAAGGTTCAAGGGATTGAAAGATCGATTTGTGTTGAGTTAACATTAGTTACTTTGTTATGATTCAATAAGGTTAGGATACAGTTGATTACGTTACATTCATAATGTCTTTGAATATTATCAGAAATGACTCAAACAAAAACAAAGTCACTGACTTTTTTTTTCCTAGTTTACATTTTCCATCTTGCAGTTTCCCACACTTTTAAACTAAATAAAATTTACTTTGTTTATCTTACTTCAGTAGTATTTTTTTTTCTACAACTTGTTTCGTCTGTTTTATTTCACTAATTTAATTTGTTCTATCACTGTTTTATGATTTATTTCTGTCATGATGTATTTCTAGGCGATCATATTGAACCAAACATTTACTTGTACATGAGTGTGTATCGTAAATGATAAAACCTGATGAGAATCATATATATATATATATGTATAGAAAAAGAAGCATACAACAGAATACAAGTCATAGTTGTTTCTTCTCCTAGTTTAGAGCTCCTTGATAATTCGAATCCACGATTTTAGTACAAGGGATATTCAGGTTTCATGGCAAGTGTTTAACAAATTACACAGCTGAGCTGACATCCAATGGTTTTATGTTTAACTTTAAACAGCTACCTAATGCTTCTTAGTTCTTAACAGTTATCTAATATAAGGTCAATTTTTGATGTAAACTATCATGTTCAGCAATCTCTACAACATTCTATAATATAAATGCGATTATATCGAACATAGTTCTCAATTATTAATCGAAAGTTTTTTATTATGTTATTGTTTATTTATTTCTTCTCTTATCTCCTTCAAAGTTGTTTTCCATCTTGTCTAATGATGAGTTATTGAATAAATTAAGAAAGGAGGATGAAGTCAAGCCCATTATTTTTGCTACTATTCTTATCAATAATAATAATAATAATAATTGATTTATTGACTATTCGGACATTTTGCTGATTCGTATCTCTGTTAATGACATTTTATAATGAAAAATACAGAGATAGGAAACTCTCACTTCACTTCACTCATACTGGACAAATTACATTAAATATTTGAATTTTATAAGCCATGTTTTCTTTAACGGTCTCACCAAATTTTTAATTTATGATTTGTGGTTCTGACCAACATCATCCTTCGACGTAGTCGCGTTTTTTTTATTCATATTGGTCGATAGTGTTCGATCAGCACTAAAAGACTAAACATTCATAACATTGGTTATTATCAAGTGATTAACCTGTTGCAAATATATCAGTCGTTCACAGAATATCTCAGTGGCAAAGTCTTAAACTGTTAAGCTGAATAATGCTTGTTTGAATCCCACAGGATTGATCCGTTTCCTCTAGATCATATATATTATATCCCTTGCTAGCACGAACCTAGATCCAGGGTATCTTATCAGGTACATCCAATTTGGTCATATGATCATATCACATAACTTTATCACCAGTTTTCGATTGGTTCTATGAAATTGACTATATGATTATTGATTGTTATTGACTGACTAATCAGGTGTGAAAATTCTGATCATATTTCATTGTCATCAGATTTAAATTGTTTGTACTTTATATGAAATTGTATTATTGCTTTATTCCTTCCTTAAATTTTTGATCTCTGATCATTGTAAACACTTTCAGATTTCAGTGACATTCATTCTTTTCAGAGTAAAAATTAGCATGTCTAGTTCTTTTCATTACAGTTGATACCAGTTTTGTGATTTCGATTTCTCTGCTTGTAATGTAATATTGTCAATATTTCTTTCTTATTGTTCTCATATGAAACGTGGGAGTTGCTTGCTGAAACGAGAATCATTATTCCGATCCTTGTATTATCTTTTTTTTAAATAACTTACTGTAAATATTCAATTCTCTTTCTTTGTAACTAGCACATGAGTATCAACACTTCATCCTCCCCGAGACCCTAAGTTTCTAAGTTCTCCACAATTTTTTCATTTCACCTATTTTTATCTCCAATGCTCGATCTTTTCTGTTATCACGAGCACCCATACTACTCTGCAATTTGCCTTGACAATTTCATCTTAATGTGTTATTGATGTATGGTAACTTAAATCGATGTACACACGTGCCAAGTTCTATATTGCGTTTAACTGACTGACTGATTGACTTACTTCGTAATGATTAATTTTATCTTTGAGTTCTCTAAATTTATCGTTCACAAAGTTTGGTGATTGAAACGACTTTAATGAGTAACATTGTTCAACCACTGTGGCAGCAACCTCTGTAGCAGCAGGTCTAAACATACTTAAGGGAAAAACCAAGATCCTAAAATACAGTGCAGAGAACATCAACACAATCGCACTTGGTGTAAAAGCCCTGGAAGATGTGGAAACTTTTACGTACCTAGTCAGCATCATTGAATAAGAAGAAGGATCTAATGCAGATGTGAAAGCAAGAATTAGCAAAGCCACAATATCATTACTACAGTCAACTAGAAACAACTGTTAACCAACATCAAAGTCACAACCTTCAACACAAACGTCAACACACTTCTACTATACGGAGCTGGAACTTCACGAACTACTACAATCATCATCAAAATATACCAGAATTTATAAACAACTGTCTACACAAGATAATCAATATCCGTTGACCGGGTATCATCATCAATAGCCTACTGTGGGATAGAACAAACCAACCTCCATCTGAAGAGGAAATTAAGAAAAGACATTGGAAGTGGATAGGAAATTCATTATCGAAATCACCAAACTATATTACAAATCAAAACTTAATTTATAATCCTCAAGGTGAAAATAAAAGAGATGAATGAAGAAACACATTGTATTTCGAACTACGAGTAGACATCATAAGAATGAATAGTAATTGGAAACAATTTGAATAAATTACTCAGAACATAGTTTGATGAAGAATCGTAATGAGTAACCTGTTCCCCCTGGACGAGGAGCACACAAGAGTAACTATTACTATTAATACTATCTATTAGATCGAAACCATATCACATTATATTAGTCATTTAAAAATATAAATATCAATTAATCTTGCATTTTATTTTTCTTTCTTTTTATCTCTTGCATTAACATATATGCACAGTTTCACACAATATAAGCTGGTTAATGATTCCTTACATTAATCATTACATATATAATATATATATAAATATATGATTTACATTTAAATGACATTCTAAAACAATTTTGATTGGTTAATAATAATAATTTATGTAACAATTCATATAGAATTGTACTTTAATCAACCAATCAGAATTGTGGATTAAATAACACAATAAAATAAAATAATGATTTCGACCAATCATCTATTTATCTAAAATTAAAAAAAAAAAATTTTTTTTCTAAAAACATTTATTTATAACATTCCGTTATTCATTTATCTATTTATTTCAAATATTCATATCAGTGGATTGTTTTAATTAATTAATTAATTAACTCATTCATTCATTAATAATAATATAATACTTTATACAAAATACACAAATAAATAATTTTAATTAATTAATTAATTAATTATTTATTTATTCATCAACTTCATTTTCAGTGAAACTGGTGATATTTATTTATTTGCACACAATTGTGTATATAAACTTAAAGCCTACATTCAGTAAGTAAATTAGTTTAGTTTAGTTTAGTTCAATTAGTTACGTAATTTGTTTATTTATTTTCTTTAATTCATTGTCTTTTTCATGTGTTATTTGTTGTTGTTTTTTCTTTGGCATTGATTACATATGTTAAGTTAACATTGTAATGAATGGAGGAACAAATCGAGCGAGAAAATTAATATTTCATCATGGCTCTAAACTAATATATATGTTATAATCAAAGATGGATAGTGGCTAGCAGTGGAATTAAGGATGCGCGTTTCGTTCTATTTTAGGACCTGTCAACTGGATGTATCTGCATGGTCAGTGTTGATATTCACTCTGGGACTCGAACAAAATACCATTCACTTCAAACGCCATCGCATTATTCACCTAGATGCTGAATCCTGATAGCCACTTGCTTGTGTAATATCGAAGCAATACGCACAGTATGCACATATGCCAATAAGAGACTGATCAATTTCAGTCTTAAACATCAATAGGAGGATTCAAGTAAAACAATACCAAGTGAATTAATATATATATATATATATATATATATATATATATATATATTAGTATAGAGCCATAATGAAAAACTAAATTGAAAAGAAATTTCTTCACTTGATTCGTACCTTCTTTATTCACCAAATATCAAAATGGGAATTTTCACATATTATTGTAATGTACATCATTTCTAACATTAATCAACATAACGTGAAACGACTCATTTTGCATTCAATGTGATCACTATTCTATTTTATTTCATTTGTATATATAATTATTGAATTTGAAGAGAATTTATTGAAAAGAAAGTAATCATTAGGTATTGTTATCAATGTAACATAATGAATTATATGTAGTATTGACTCATTACTTTATTGTATATATAGGTGAACTGAAATCTATACTGATACATCAATTCTAACTGATCTCATTCAAAATAGTGCTTTGAAATTCTTCCATTCTATTCATATGGGTTAGATTATTCTGTTGTTTTAAATATTCTTCACTAAAACATTTAATCCACACTTTATACTATCATCAATACTTTTGTTGACTTGATAGATAACCAAGGAATTAATTGGTTAGAATTTAAATGATCTATGGAATTAAATCTTTGAAATTGTCCATGATCTGTACTTATGTTTTATGAAGGATTAATTGCATAATTTAGTTAATTAGTGATATCTGTGAGTTATAGATGATTAATATCATGATGTTATAAATTTGTATTTATAAGTTATCCCTCCTTTCATCTTAATTTACTCAAACCACATAGAAATTAGTTCATGAAGACATCATCTTGACCTATTTCCTATAAGAAACAAGTCCTCCTTTATTGTTTTCATGTCATTCTTTGAACTGTACAATTAGTGGTTTCTAGTAGTAAATACTAGTTATTCCACTAGTGGTTGACATCATTTTTATCAATACTCATCAATCATTTATAAATATTAAATATATTTATTATAATTTTTTCTGTATGCCTTCAATTCTTTGCTTTTTATCGCTTTCTGCAATATATTGTATTCTCTATCAATATTCATATCTATTTTTGTTGTTTTCCTCTCTCTCTCTCTTTTTTTTTCAATCTTCCACCCCTTCTCATTCTCTGTATAAATCAATTCTTTAAATATAATAATGGTTTCAACTACTTAATCCACTATGTATATACATATTTGTATATGTTGTATAAATCAGATTACAAGATATATAATTGGTTTACAGTATAAAACTCTTCATATTCCAAGATTTTCAAAAGAAATATACACTATTCCATATTTCATAACTATTCACTGAAGATTCTTCTTTTAAGAAACAAAACAGAATTGGTGTTGAGTTACTATCCTTCTATATTTTTAAAATACATCTTTTTTTTCATACTAATTGATATTATCAGTGTTGATGGGGCTTATTTTCTAGTGAAATAAAATTATACAACTTTACAATACAATAGAGTACAATAAGGCGTTACTTATTTAAACTGTTATTTAAATTTATATATGGATATATAGATATGAAAATGTCCAATTTGTAGTTCAAACATAATGCCTATTGTTTTTTATAAAAATTTGTTAATCAATATAGGAGTTGTAGAGATTGTTAAGTTTTTGATTGACATCATGAACTGATTGATGTTAGATCACCGTTGGAAACCTGAAAGCACTGGACGGTCGTTTCATCCTATTATAGGACTCCTTAGTAGCCCGCTTCCAGGTTTTCAATGGTGGTCTAACATCAATCGGTTCATGATCTCAATCAAAAAGTTGATAACTTCTAGATAATAAATGAGTGGTTTGAAATTGCTTTCTTTTTCTTTTCTTTTTTTTCATTTCACTAAACTTTTTTCTAAAACATCATGTTACGGCGGTTTACTAAAATATTTGAGACATCTATTATATATGAGAATAACCATACATTTTCAATGTTTAATCTAGATACATTTTCTAGTACTATCAATGATTGTTTCTATCCACTTAGTGTGTGTTATAACTTGTGGCCTGTTTGCCCTGTTAGTGGATAACGTAACGATACCGCCAATTAGAGAGCAGTGATTTGTTGATCGGACTAGTGACTCATAAAACCCGTACGAGCAGCCTACAGTCCTGATTGATCTCGCTTCCTGTCTAGTCCAGCCAGTTAATTCCAGAACACAAATCTCAGCCGCCGCGATATGAATCATTTATTTCAAGCATATTGCGTTTATATACCAACCAAACAGACCACAACGTACCATAAAATAGAAAATAACATTTGTACGAGATTCGGCCAAAAGTGACTGTGAATGAGAGAGGCAGTGACAAATAGACAGGGTATAATTCAAGAATGGTAAATCGTATAATAATGGTTCAGAGGTCAAAATAAAGCTTATAATAAGAGGAATATAAATATGAATAGTTTAATTATTCAACAATTATACGATAAAAATATACACATATTACTGATCCATAAATGGATCCCAAAAGTTACCATTGATTATGGTTATCGGGGCATAACAGTGTGTCAATCTTGCGTATAGGAGTATAATTTTCATTGAAAACTTTATTTTAATCATTTAAAGCTATCTACATATATCTTCTATGAATATGATAATGTAGTGCATCTTAACTTGACAAATGTTAAAAACTAACAGCCTAATTCTTTTGTTTTGTGTTTTGATATGCTTGAAATGAATTAACTGCGAATTCTGAGTAAAACCTTTTTGCATTACTAAAGTGTTGTTGTACAAATAGGGTTTATAAGTTATTTCGATTCATAGCACAAATACTAGAAAACTCAAACAGAAATATTGTAGTTCTAAGCCTCATTTCCTTATATTTTTTCATAATATAGTTTATAGTATATTCGAATTCATATACCTTTTATATGATGAATGGAAATAGTAACAGTGAAACTTTAATAAACTGAATATTGTTGAGGGTTTCCAACTGTTATAAACGACGATTATTGTCAGTTGATTCACTCTATCATACTGTTGAATAGATTCATATTAACAGAATGATAACAATGTAAACTTTGTCAAGATTCAATTAAATATAAACATCTTTTTTTACCCTACTCTTATTATTGATTCAATCTATTGAGCAGTATTGATATTATCAGGATCACTTTAATTCAGTCGTCTATACATCTAACATTTTGAACGAACTAGAATGTTGTCTTGAATTTCACTACATTTGTATATTTTTGATTTCAATAGTTGAGATCATGAATCAATTGAATCTAGACCACCATGGAAACCTGGAAGCACCGTACAGCTGTTTCGTCCCATTGTAGGACTCCGCCGTCACAATGCGCACCCACGACCTCGCCTCGTGAGATTCGAACCCAGGACCTATCAGTCTCACGCGCGAGCGCTTAACGACTAAATCATTGATCTGGCCGGCATCCAACGTTGTTAATGTCTATTTTTGATTTGCTTGAAATGAATTAATTATGAATCTTGACTAAAACCTTTTTCTATTACTACAGTATTGTTGTACAAATAGGAATTATAAATTATTTCGATTCATAAAGCTAGGAAACTCAAACAGAAATATTGTAGTTCTAAGCCTTCTTTCCTTATACTTCATTATGTAGTAAGGATATTCGAATTCATATACCTTTTATATGATGAATGAAAATAGTCGTATTTATAATAGTGAAACTCTATTAAACTGAATATTGTTTCAAGATTCTGATTTGTTAAAAGGTCTTGTTCCTTTTTTATAATTTAAATATAAATTACAAAGAGATTAATTTATATGTACGAAATGGATGAGAACCAGTGCTTTCATTATGGTATGGTCACTGGCAATTTCTATGTACTATTAATGGCTATGTAGAGCTGAAGGTCTCATATGAAGCTGGAGGTTCGCCATTGGTATTGTGGATGGTTCGGCATTGCTTTGGCAAGTTTTGCTGACTGTTCACGCACAAAATTGTTTTGGTGGTTAACCAATTTCATTCATACTGATGGTTGTTTTTCAGTGTTCTCAAGGGCCATTGTCATTGGGACATTGTAAGGCATGTCGCTATTGCTAACATCAATGAGTTTGACTAACGTGTAAGCGGAATAGGTCAACTTTGGCCTGTTCGCGCTGTGCATAATTGATTCACGCGATCATTGGTCGGAATAACTACACATATGTGATGTGAATGTGTATATGAATTGTGCGAATCGTCCACCAGGGTGCATGGTACCTATTTGGTTGAGCCACAGGATTGAGCTGTTCTGTTCAGATTGTGGCAATAAAGCTTATACAGTGTCTGGCTGTCCTGTTAAACGGGATCGAGCTGTACTGTTTGGGTTGTCACGTGAAAGTCTGAACGGTGTCTGGTTCTTCTGAAAACCAATGTAATATTATCCTGGACCACAAGGGTATAATTATATAACTAATTAATACAATTAAAGTTGAGATTATTCTCCTATAAGATAATTTCAGCATATATTGAATCAACTTATTTTTACTATAACTATGTTGATATGATCTTATGTTTTATTCACAAGATTTCTTTACATTCTTCTTTCGAAGAAAGAACAATGAACGATGATTATGTCATATATGGCGCTTTATTTTGGTTTGGATTTTTTCATGCATGAAATTCATAATGATTTAAACATTCTTTCATTATATAAGTTCAAGTCTACAATGAAATTAAATTAGTGGTCTAATAAGTAAGAAGAAATAACAAACTTATAATATCGCGCCATATTTGAGATAATCAACATTGAGTAATAATAATAAGGCGACCAAGATTGATTAGTTACTGTCTCGAATATAAATAATGTGAGAGAAAAGAAATAATATAATGTTCATTCTTGTTAATCACTTCTTACACGTTCAGAAAAAAAATTAGTGAATATCTGAATAAAGTAGTTGAGTACACATACATACATACATACATACTTACACCTATTACTCCCGATGGAGCATAAGTCGCCGACCAGTATTCTTCAACCCATTCTGTCCTGGGGATTCCTTTCCAGTTATATCTAATTTTTATTCATTTTTTTCATATCTGTCTCCATTTCTTCATGGGAT